GCTGCCCACACATACCTCACCTTCCCTGTGTACTTCTCAACCAGTTATACCCAGCTGAAAACAAACAGGAGGCCTGTTATCTCTATGCACAATAAAATGGTTGTCTAGCTTTAGGCTAAGGGTGATGATTCAATGACCACTTATGCTGATACGTTGGCCAAGATGGGTGTTCACTAGTGCAAGAGGTCAGTAAATTACCCTCATTGTGGTAAGTACACTTCTGGCTTGGAAAGAAAGGAAGAGAAATGAGTGACTTAATAAGGTTTTTTTTAAATATTTTTATTGCATTAGCCGAGTGGCCATAGCATGATATACATTGAAATAACAACATAAAATGGGGGTGGGGAGGTAGAGGTAGACATCGTCCTGGGCGAATACTTAAAGAAAGTGGAAAAAAAAAAAACAAACAAAAGCTGCTGAGGCTGGAGGAGGACCGTTGAGGGGTCCTTCAGCTCCTCAGATTAATCCTAACTCGATTGTCCTTGTACAATAAGGCTACTTGGAACTTCGTTCGGTTGTGCGGCGTATCGACTGCATCTGTGGTGTTAAGGAAGAAGTTAGTGCCGCTTTCCTCTTCATCACACTAAGCAGGAAGTTAGCTGTCATCTCAGTAATCCAACAATCAGAATCCTGCAAAAAGAGGGACACTATCCAAGGCTGGATTGGGAGATGGAACTTATTCACGAGGGAGTTAAAAACCGAGATCTTTCATCTGTCCAGTTGGGACAGAAGAGCATTACATGTTCCATAGTCTCCAGGGCCGTGTCATTACAGGAGCATGTTCTGTTTGCGATGGGAACTCTGGAATAACGACCCGACAGAACTGCTGTAGGAAAACAGTTGAGGCGGGCACAGGTAAAAGCCCTTCGCTTAGTCTCCGAAGAAATTGTGAAGCAGTATAGAGGGATCCCTTCAGGGGTGGAATAGCTAGGGCTAGGCCTGAACACGGTCCTCTTGCACAAGAAGCTGTGTTGGAGAAGTCAAATTGCTGTAGTTTCTTTTTAATTAGGGGTAGGGCCACCGGGCTGATACACTCTAAGTTAAGAACAGTTTTACAATTCAAATTGAGAAGAGAGCGGAATTTGAGGTTAATTGTAGTTTTCCAAGGGGAATTATGGATATCTCTTAGGATCAGATTGGAAAAGCCACCTCTAATTCGAGCATCCGATGCTAATAGGTGGAGGGTGTAGGAAATGGCTCGGCTCCATGCTCGTCTAGCAATTGAAGGCTGGGCGAACTCGAGTCGTAGGGCTGCACCTGAGACACATCTCGGGACGCCGGAAAGAGATCTCAGAAACATATGAAGTGGACGATCCAGGTTACCTGATATTGCTGTAGTCCATACTTCACATCCATATAATAATTTAGGGACGACTTTGGCATTAAATATTTGAATTGCTGCTGGAAGGTGTTTGCCGCCCTTCTGGTGGTAAAATCGGACAATGGCGTTAGAGGTCGTGGTTGCGGCGAGAAAAGCAGATTGTAGATGGGTGGTCCAGGAGAGATTATAGGTGAATATTAATCCTAGATATTTAAAGGCTTTTACCTTTTCTAAGTAGCCACCTGTGATCTTAAGCGGCTCCAACTTGAGTTTGCGGGAACGAGTGAAGTGGAGGACTTTCGATTTTTATAATTAATATTAAGAGCTTCCGCCTTACAATAGGCGATAAATGCATTAACTGCATTTGCTAGATCCGCAGCTGTTCTGGATAAGATGCCGGCTTCATCTGCATAGAAAAGGAAGCAACGGGGTGGCCTGCTAAGTGAGGAGGATACTTAGATGCTAGCTTCAAAGTGGAAATTGCATCATGAAGATAGAGATTAAACAGTAAAGGGGCCAAGAGGCAACCTTGTCGGACGCCCTTGGCCGTTGGAAATGGAGTAGTGGGGAGCCGTTTGGACTAGTTCGGACGCGAGCTGTGGTGTTTGAATAAAGGGAGATAATTAGGGAGAGAAGGTGCGGATCAATTCCCAGATGGGCAAGTTTGGACCATAATCTCTGCCTAGGAATGGAATCAAAGGCGGCCTCCAGGTCCATGAAAGCGGCAAATAGGTGGCCTTGCCTTGGAGCAGTGTATTTACTGGCAAGGTGAAAGAGAGTTAGACAATGGTCCATGGTTGACGCTGACTTTCGGAAACCAATCTGTTCTAGCGGTAGAATATTCCTCTCCTGGACCCATGAGAGAAGTTCCTCCAGTAAAACAGCGGCAAATATTTCCCCGGGATGGATAATAAGCTAATGGGGCGATAGTTCCTAGGGATGTTTGGCTGGCCGCCTTTGAAGATCGGAACTATTATAGCTTCTCTCCAGGAGTCGGGGATGTCTAGGGCGGAGGAGATAGCGGTGAATACAGGAGTCAGGTGTTCGCTCCACCAAAGAGGATCAGTCAGGAAAAGGTCCAATGGGACCATGTCTGGGCCGGGGCCTTATTCCTTTGCATTGACATTATGATGTTGAAAATGCGAGTTGAAGTAAAGTTTATTGAAGAAGTGGGACTAAGAGAGCAGGAACTGAGGTCCAATGGGGATTGAAGGAGATCTGTAAGATGGTTTGGAGAAGCGAAACTAGTTGAATAATAGGCAATCCATTCATCCGCGGAAATCTGGGTAGCTGGATTGAATGGTGCCGAAGGTCTAACTAGGCGCCAGAAGGAGCGGGAGTCATGCCTCTCTACAGCCGAACGAAGAGTGGACCAAGCCTCAAAGATGTACTGCTGTTTCTTGCAATGAATCATGTTTCTATATGTCCTTTTAATATCTATGAGCTTTGCACGGGTTTGGGGGTCGTTGGAAGATTTGATGATTCTGACCATTTTCCTAATTCGCCTTCTTAGGGCTTTACATTCCTTGTCAAACCAGGGCGATTCAGAGAAGGGGCGCTGGTAAGTAGGCGAGGTGGTGGTTATGTAAGTTGTTGAGAAAGCATCAAGTAATTTCCGGTATTGGTCAGCGGGCAGGATTGGATCAGAGGGAACTGCAGACATATCAAATGATTTTTGTATGTCCAGGGCAAGAGAGGAGCTGAGGCTTGTCCATTTCTTTGTTTTGTATACAGGGTGGCTTTGTACCATGGTTCTATAGTTTGAGGAGACTGGGAGTGGCTCTATTAGGTTTAACATTAGAGTCAATGGAAGGTGGTCACCACCAAAATATTCAGCCACTTCCATTTTTGTAGAAATTGAGAATAGCTCCGGCGTCAATAAAATGTAGTCGACAACACTGGTTCCCGGGAAGTGATGCACGTTAATTGCTGCGAGGACAAGGGAGTAATGTTACCATTTGCGATGCAGAGATCGTTTTCCATGGCCAGTTGGGCCATCAGCCTCCCGACGCATTTGTTATAGGATCAAGAGAGCATCTGTTTCCCCAGGGGGGCTGCAGGGGATTGTCCAGGAGTGCTGCGGGAGATATTATATCATCGTCGTTGGGACCTATTCTTGCATTAAAGTCGCCTAAGAGGATTTGTGGAGTCCTGGGTTAGTTGTTTGGAGATCATGGAGCCAAGACGAAAGTTCAGACCACCTTTCATTGCGGTCGAAATCATTAATTGCTGGGGGCAGATATACTGTAGTTATCAACCATGGGCTTTGGTCTTTGGGAGATGAATCTTTATGGTGAGAAAGTAAGGGGAAGATTTAATTTCCTCGCAAATAGTGAGGGGTAAGCTGGTTGAAATAAGACAGGCGAGGCCAACTTGGGGCGACCCCTGTTGGTTAGTTTACTGAGCACAGGAGCTAAAGGAGCAATAATTTGGGAGAACAATACTTTGTTGGGACCAGGTCTCTTGGAGGCATACAATGTCGAAAGAAGAGATGAGATTCATTGCTTCAGGATCCATTTGCTTTGTCGCCCAGCCGTTAACATTCCAGGAGACAATTTTAAGGCTCTGGGGTAGGTTGGGTGCGTCTTTCAAGGAAACAACTGCTTTTGCTTGATTTGTGAGTGAGGGTTGAGTCTGTTCGTATCTAATGATATCGGATTTCCGCGGAGATAGGGAGCCGGCTGGTGTTTGTCTCTGGTCTAATCTTTGTCAATTATTTCCCGAGGTGCTTTTAGGGATTACTTTTTTTATGAGCCGGCCCATTGCTCTCCATACATGGCAAACTAGCCAAATGTTCTATAGTTTCGGCTGTTAACTGTTGAATACTGACATTAGTGGTCACCGGGCCTTTGAAGTGTGTTATCTCTTTCCGTAGATGTTTTTCCGGAACCTGATTGTGGCCTAATTCCGCCTCATCTAGATACCTCAGCTTGTCCCAAGAACCTGGTGAATTCACCTTCGGGATGGTTCTCTTTATTGGAGGTGGTGTAGTGTTCTCTTCAGTGTGCTGGGCTTCCTTAATTGGGAGTAGATTAATCTCAGCCATTGTCTGAAGGTAACATGGCCGACAGGCCGCTGGGTTTGGTTCTTGTATAGGGTTCAAATTATAGGAAGTCTGGTCCTTTTTAAGGGCGTCCATATTGATTTCCTTGTTTGTATCTCTCCCAGCCAGCTTAATTCTTAGCATATCCAATCTTTCTAATATTTCAGCTTGTATTGGAGATGGAAAATGGCAAAATTGCCTAATTAAGGTATTTTCTTCCGCGGAAAAAGATCCTCATCTTCATTCTCTTGAAGTTGCAGGTCTTGCAGGTGGGCATCTTTCCTTTTTAATTTTTGAAGCTCTCGTTTCTGGAGACCAGGCCGGGTTTTGGGAGGTTGTTTCTCCTTACTAGGGTTTGCGTGCTTGGCTTCCAGAAGGGGATTCGGTGGTGCCTTGTTTTCAAAAAATCTGAGAATTTTTATCTGGGCCTTTAAGAATATATATCTTGATCTGTAGATAAACTTGGCCAGGTTCTGGTCTCTAAATGTGATCATTGCTCTCATTGAACAACCATCATGATGCAAATAATCTACAAAAATAATGTCATATGGCTTTACTGCTCCTGGCAATATATCATTCAGAACGTTCAAGGAGCTCATTCTTCGTTCTTTCCCTGTAAGGAAGCCCTTTGATTTTGGGAAGTTTGTAAATACTAATATTGAGGGATTTAAAATCAGGTTCCAACATCTTGCCTGAATAAAGGTTTGCCCATCTTGTATAGTGTTGTCATCGCGATTGGGCATTGCATCGTCCCCATTTCCCGATTTGCTAAGCGGTTTGCTGCCTTCATTGTTAGGGACCACTTCTCCCCCAGAATCTGGCTCACTGAGTGAACTGTTACCAGAACTCTGGGACGTTGCTTCCGTCCTCCCACTTAGTTCTGAATTCTGGTTCAGAGATGCCACCTTAGCCATTAGCTTTGGCGATGGCTTCTTTTTCCCCTTCCTGCCATTCTCTTTTTTATCTCGTGCAGCAGATTTATTTGAGTCCATTGGGAGTAGATTAAATAATTTCTGCCATTGTTTATGTCGGCTTATGTTTATTTTCCTTGTTGTTTTAATGTTCTTAGTTTTCTTTTCCCGGACTTTTGATCTATTTTTTTGCAATTTCTTGGTTGTTACTGCTTGTCTCATCTTCACTAGTTCATCTGGGTTATGCACAAATTCATCTGGTTTATGCACTTGGGGTGCATCGGTTGCTGTTGTCTCTTTTGGTTGGGGAATAAAATTTTCCACAAGGGTCAGCAATAACCCATTTGTTATTGTCAAGTAATTTTTTTATGTTGGAAAGGTCTGTATTTATATCTTGGAAATGGGCCTGAAGATGGCCATCACTCAGTTCAGTTTGAGTATATTTGGAAGTGGGCGCCTGGTCTTGGTGGCATGTTGTTAATTCTGCCAGGGGCCGCTGGTTATAGGTGACAGAAATATTTTCCACAGGTTTCTCAGCTAGAACTAGCTCTTGCGCCAGGCTTCTTGGGGAATTTGTGTTTCCAGAGTTGTGTTGAAGCTCTTTGAAGTAATGTGACCGGTCAAGGTAAGTAAGGGGGAGAGGAATGACTTCGTCAATAATTGGTTCAATTTGTTCGCTCATGCATTCCTCCCTCTTGGGGAAGTAATTTATAATTTTAATAAGGTTAAACATCTGAGAGCAGAAGCATGTGCCTTATTACATCAGCGTCTAACACCTCAAACTGTGTCTTGGCTTTGAAAATGGGCACTGCTGTGGGCCTGCTATATATGTTATCATAGTTACTCTTTTTTTTTTTTAATGTATTCTGTACTTCTTACAATGCCATGAACTGGAGAAGTGTGCATGCACACGAAAGCTTATACCCAGAACAAACTTAGTTGGTCTCTAAGGTGCTACTGGGCAATTTTTTAATTTATTTCAACTGCATCAGACCAACCCGGCTACCTACCTGAATCGAATGCCATGAATTGCCCACCTCAATGCATGTGGCTATAGACGTAAGAAAATGAGAAGATGCTATAGGAAGAACAGAATATATTGGACTAATTTTGACCTTACTGATGATGGTAGCGTTTGCAACAAACAGATATTAACAAGCATGCCACAAACCAAAGTACTGAAAACATTAGATCCAATTGTGGTGCAGTGATTGTGGTGCTGGATTAGGGCTGGCAAGCTGAAATCAAACCTTTGCCTTGATGTGTGATGTGATGTTTAGCAGAGAGGGGAAGGCACTTCAGAAAGTGGTTTGGCAAAGCATCGCCCTCCATTAAATACTGCACAGTGATTACTTTGGGCAGCTCCCATTCAATGGGGTGGGGGCTTGTGAAAGAGAACTGCTTTTTGGATTTTGCCCTTAATTCTGTCCACACTATAGACTTTATCTGGTTTAAGAGTCATTCCCTCCGCCCTGCCCCACCCCGAGAGCTCTGAGAACTGTTAGTTTTGTGAGGGGTGCGGCGACAGGGATTCACTGTATCTCAGGAATCCCTTAGAAGTGACTGAAAAGTAAGAACCGAACGAGGGCCTCCACTGAGTCAGCAGCAGGACATCTGCTGTGACATAGAATACGCTGGAAATCTGGAGGAGGTTCTGTGGTGGCAGATCAGGCTAAATAAAAACAAACCTCCTCCATGGTTCCGGCAGACATATGTCAACACAATATCTATTCACAACATGACATATCCTCTCACAATATTAAAAAAAACCAAAAACCTGACCCTCTTGACCCATCTGATGTTTAGAGTTGTGAGAACAAAAAATTAAAAACAATTGACGCAGTAATCTGCGCTGAAATCATTTTCGATATACTTCCTCAACAGAGATCTCTGACGGCAGACTGCAAAGCAGTTCCGTATCACAGCGGATGCAAATAAGTTGATCTTATGCTCCTGGTCATTAACCAGCTTTATGCAACTCCAGCCCTCTGGAATCAATTACGAATTGAAATCAGGCATGTGCATCACATCTTGATAGTTAGGAGGCTGTTGAAGACATTATGTGTTTGAGAAGGCTTTCCCTGAAGTGTGACAAATATGCTACAATTGGTTCTATCGCTTGTAGCTTACTGAGTATGCAACATTTTGCATTTCAGCTTGTGTACCACTTTGGTAATTTTTGGTTGTGAAGAGATTTTTTAATCTCCAAATAAAATAAAGTAAAATAATAAAACGTGAGGCATTCTGAGACAGTAGGTGGTCGTGGGCTGTGGATCCTGCCACCTGAGGGTGGTTACCTCACCTTACCCCACAGGTGGGTTGGTCCCGCACCAGAATTTTCTGGCCCCTATAAAATTTATACTTCTCTCAAATGCCAATGGTTTTACCGACCCCAGGATTCCCCTGGGCCCCACACAACTAAACAGAGAAAGAAGTAGAGTTGCAAATTAAGCATTCACTAAGATCCTTGTGAACTATTTAAAAAATAGCTGAACTATTTAAAATTTTAAAAGATGATGCTGTTAAGGTGCTACACTCAATATGCCAGCAAGTTTGGAAAACTCAGCAGTGGCCAGAGGATTGGAGAAGATCAGTCTACATCCCAATTCCAAAGAAGGGCAGTGCCAAAGAATGCTCCAACTACCGCACAATTGCACACGCTAGCAAGGTTATGCTTAAAATTCTACAAGGTAGGCTCAAGCAGTATGGCTGATCACCGAAGAATTTATGCTTTTGAATTATGGTGCTGGAGGAGACTCTTGAGAGTCCCATGGACTGCAAGAAGATCAAACCTATCCATTCTGAAGGAAATCAGCCCTGAGTCCTCACTGGAAGGACAAATCCTGAAGCTGAGGCTCCAATACTTTGGCCACCTCATGAGAAGAGAAGACCCCCTGGAAAAGACCCTGATGTTGGAAAAGATGGAGGGCACAAGGAGAAGGGGACGACAGAGGATGAGATGGTTGGGCAGTGTTCTCGAAGCTACAAACGTGAGTCTGACCAAACTGCGGGAGGCAGTGGAAGACAGGAGTGCCTGGCGTGCTCTGGTCCATGGGGTCACAAAGAGTCGGACACGACTAAACGACTAAACAACAACAACAACAAGTTCCTTGTGTGCTTTATCCAAGGACTAGCATTTATTTCCTTCTAGGGTTGGCCCTTGCCTGTTTTCAACAGTAAACGTTTTGTGCCCTATTTATAAAATCCATGGTCTACCAACTGTACACCTGGTATGCTCCACAATGCTGTTAAGGTAGTTCAGGGCGCTAGGGTTTTGTGTTTTTCCTCCAAATAAATAGAAGGTTGCAGACCTGGTTCAAATTCTGTGATGCCACATTTGCATCCAAATGAGCGCTGTGCTGTGTTTCTTTGTGAATACCCAGGGAACTCCAGTGTTCAGCAAGCCAACTGTACAAGCCTGTGGTGGTAAAATGGCTGGTGTGTAGGAAGGGGTTGTTTGGGCAAAGAGTCTGTACGCACAAACGCCTTTCTGGGTGTAGCATCCAGCTACAGCTCAGGCTGAAGTAAGCCAGTTGACTGATGTAGGTCAGGCTCCACCCATTGTAGGACAGGCTGTTTCCTAGGCAAAGGAAACATCAAACAGTAGTTGCATGTTACCCAGGACAGCAAATAGTAGTGTATCATCATCATCACCATCACCATCACCATCATCACCATCACCATCATATATGTGGCAGCATATATACGGTGTCTACGCCATACATGGACTTTGTGTCCAAAATCAAGGACAATGAATCAGAAGGATGTGATTCAGCAGCTTTCTAGAAATGTCGCAGCCTTCAAGATTCAAAAAAGGAGGAAGTCTGCCTTCCATGCCTTCATCGTTGAGAGGTGAAGAAATAAGGTATTGTTGTTCTCTATTCAGGGAAAGATGAATCTGGCCTTACGAAAACAAACCTACAGCCCGCATGACTGGAAGCTGACCATATGCCCTGCCAATATTGTGACATGTCTCTTGTTGTCACTAAGCTCTTTTGACAAAAGAAGAGGAAGAGGAGCAGCTAGCATGGTCACCGCTCAAGGATGGTGGGAGTTGTAGTTTGACAACATTGGCTACCACTGATCTATGGTATTATTTTTATTTTTTATTTTTTTAAAAAAATGTATTTAAACAGAAACACATCTCACTAAAATGGAGAAGACTGAGACCTCTGTGTGCCTGCTCAGTCTGCTGTCAAGATGCTAAAAAAAAACTGTTGATGGGCAAATTTAAGCCCCCACCTTCCTTCTTACGGTTCTCTATCTTTAAATCAGATTTGAACCTTGACAGTCCTTCAGGCAGAATACTCCTTCAAATAGAGGACTGTCCTCTCTAAAATGGAACTCAGGGCTGCCCAGTGGCTAGCTGTTGTGTCTTCTGTTAAAAACCATGTTTGCTTCTCTTACAAATGACTTCTTTATTGAACATTCATCCTGATTTGTTTGCACAAAGTTTGTATGGCAGTTATACAACATCGCTGGTTACTGAGCATTCATTCTGATTTCTTAGCATGGAGCTGATATAATGTCACCATTCTTTTTCCACCCAAAAATCCATGTGTTGTTGTTTTTTGTTTGGTTTTGTTTTGGAATTGGGTTTGTTGCACCAAACATATACTTCAGTTGTATATGGCATGCCCAAATTTCCTGGTATGCAGCTGAATCATACCTGCAAAATAGTGACAGCCTGGCAGCGGCCTGGAAATGAAAAACACATGAAGCAGCCTCTTACGCCTTGGTGTCTGTGCCCAAGCAGCCCTGAGTAGGGAGAAACTCGGGCTTGGAACTCATTTAACGGCACAATATTCAAGGCTTGTGGCAAACACGCAAATGAATGAGTTCGGAGGCACTGTGGGATCCTGCGGGAAATGATTTCCTGTTATTCATAATGCTTCCACAATTATTTCATGTTTTGTACTCTAATGATAACCCATAGCGTTTGCTAATCAACTTTACT